TAGAAGGCATGTTTTCTAGTTTTTTACTCATTAGCATAGCTCCTCTCTCAACCGCTTCACTATATATAAACATTCTTCTTGAAGTGTCGACACCAGTACTAGCCAGTGTTCCAGCAGCAGTTGGGCCAGGATCAAATACAGGGGTAAAATAACCTCTCTATTCCTATTCAAGATGTCCTTGCTTATGTAATCAAGGCACAAACATAGCCCAGCTCACCACAACACGGCACTGGGAACTCATGTTCAGCTGAATATCCACCACAACCTGCAAACCCTTTCCCGGAGTCATTGGTTCTCAAGGTGGAGTCCTCAATCATGTAATTATGACCTTCATTCTTTGTTGCTAGATGCATAGATTCACACTGAGCTATATTAAAATGCATACTGTTTGCCTGATCTCAAACCAATACACAAGCTATGTGGGAAGACTGAAAAAACTGAGCTTGTTTAGTTTGGAAAAGAGAAGACTGAGAAGGGACATGATAGCAATTTTCAAGTATTTAAAAGGGTGTTACAAAGAGGAGGGAGAAAAATTGTTCTCCTTGGCTTTTGAGCATAGGACAAAAAGCAATGGGCTTACGTTGCAGCAAGGGAGGTTTAGGTTGGACATTAGGAAAAACTTCCTAATTATCAGGGTGATTAAACACTGGAATAAATTGCCTAGGGAGGTTGTGGAATCTCCATCCACTGGTCATATTTAAGATCAGGTTAGATCTAGACAGTGTCAGGGATGATCCACCTGTCAGGGATGATCTAGACAGTGGTTGGTTCTGCAGTGAGGGCAGGGGACTGGACTCCATGACCTCTCAAGGTCCTTTCTAGTTCTAATGTTCTATGATTTTGTGATTCTATTATTCCAATATTGTGCATCAGTGACATGTCCTCTTCATTATTTGCTACTCTCTCAAATTTTATGTCATTTGCAACCTTTATCAATAATGATTTTATGCTTTCTTCCAGCTCATTAATAAAAATGTTAAATATCTTAGGGCCAAAAAGAAATCCCTGGAGGACCCCACTAAAACACACCTGATTCTCTGTATACAATTACATTTTGAGCCCTGTTAGTCAATTTTTAATCCGTTTAATGTGTGTTGTGTTAATTTGATATCTTTTTTATCTTTTAAATCAAAATGGCATGTGGTACCATTTCAGATGCCTTACAGAAGTCTTAAGTATAAAACATTCGTATTGTTACCTTTATAAACCAAACTTGTAATCTTACAAAAATATCAAGTTAGTTTGGCAGGATTTATTACAAAAAAACCCCATGTTGATTGGCATTGGTTATAGTATCCTTTAATTCTTTAGTGAGTCAAGTCTCATATCAGCTGCTTCATTATCTTGCCTAGGATCGATATCAGTTTGAAAAGCTTATAATTAATTGAGTCAACCCATTTTCTCTTTTTAGATACTGGTGTTCTGGTGCCACTTTGAGCTGGTATGTCCTGGTCTGTGGGGAGCTTCTTTCTGATGATGAGCTTTGAGAAGTTAGGGGCTTGGATCAGTCCATCCAGATACTCCAAGGGAACCTGCTGCACTAAGGAAATACTGTCTTCTGACCACACAACCCTGATTGTAACCTACCTCCCCCACAAGGGAGCCCATATGGGATATCATCAAACAACCACAACCCATATTCAATGAGGACACAATCCTGAAAGAAATCATCCCTGATCCCTCTCTTCTGATCTTCAAACCACCCCCAACCACACCACGTCCACCACAGAGCAACACCAACTTAAAGCAACACCAGACCCTTTTCAGGACAACAGATGCAAAACTTGTAGATATATCTCTCCTGTTACAATGATTAATAGCCATCAGAACACCTGTCAAAATTCATGCCTACCACATGATGCCTGCCACAACAGGCAGTATACCCTATCCCATGCACTAGAAGTCCCAATAGCAACAGCGTGTGTGGATGAAACCAGACAATCAGGACATTCTCAACTGAATGGACATAGGAAAAAGATAAGAGACAAAAAACACCGTATCACCTGTGATCACCCTGTCTGCTCTACTAGTCCTCACCCTCAAAGAAACCTGTACAACACTTCCAAATGACCAGCCTGGGAGCTTAGATTTGTAACTTTGCTGTACACTAAAAATCAAGGAGTGAATAGAGACACTAGGGCTACGTCTACACTGGCCCCTTTTCCGGAAGGGGCATGTAAATTTCACTAGTCGTCGTAGGGAAATCCGCGGGGGATTTAAATATCCCCCGCGGCATTTAAATAAAAATGTCCGCCGCTTTTTTCCGGCTTTTAAAAAAGCCGGAAAAGAGCGTCTACACTGGCCCCGATCCTCCGGAAAAAGTGCCCTTTTCCGGAGGGTCTTATTCCTACTTCAGGAGAGGCTGAGGGAGTTGGGTCTGTTTAGTCTGGAGAAGCGAAGAGTGAGGGGGGATATGATAGCAGC